CATTCCATTCCTCTCTTCTTTCCATTCCATTGACATCCATTCCCTGTAGGGAACCAATCTCATTAGCTTCTGGTTTATTCTTTATATTTATATATAAATATATATATATTTATATACACACACGTGTGTGTGTGTGTGTGTGTATTTGTATCTTTTCTTGCATCACAGGTGAGAAGACACATAAATGTTTTCTTATATATTTTTCTTACATGAAAAGTAGCATTCTATAAACATACCTCTGTGCTTTTTTTTTCTCGCTTCATAGTATAGCTTGAAAATCACTCTATCAGTTCCTAGAGATCTTCCTTATTTATTTGTAGAGCTGCATAGCACTCCTTTGTGTGGATGTGTGCTGCAGTGTATTCAACCACTCTCCCGTGGCACTGAAGTTGTTTTTGATATTTGCAATTATGAACAATGCTGCAATCAATTACTTTGAGGCACTGAGTTTCATGAGAGGGGTTGGCACAAGATCTGAAGGCAGATGACTCAGCTTCCAGAGCCGCCACTCTGTCTGCGGGGCCACATTGACTCCACAGGCAGCTCAGGCCTGAGATGATGCCCTGGTCACCCTAGTGGGCTGGGGTTTCTCCCTCTCGTCTGCTTCTAGGATGAGCTCCAATAGGCGGGCCCCTGGTTGCTCAGTTCCCCTTTGCTGGCCTATTCCTTTAAGTTGCCTTCATGGAGGGTCATTATATCTGCACATTTGGGGCCCCCTGCCTGGGTGTTAACCCTCCCTCACAGCCCACAGTCACAGCCACTTTTAAACAATGACACAAAGTTGTTGCGGACAGACCAGAGTATACCTGTGTGCATGTGAGCTCAGCTGTGCCATTATTTGTGGACAACAGGCCTGAAGTGGGCAGAAAAGCCATATCACCATGCATAGGCAGTGAGCCAGGAGCTTTCAATGGGCCAAGAGTGTACTTGAATTTCCTGAGTATGGATGGACTTCCCAAGGCCCCCAGAATTACCTGCTTGAGGAGGACTCTCTCCTGAGCCTGGTGGAGGGCCAGGCTGGGGAGGTGAGTGTAGTGGCTTCCCAGCTACTTTTCAAGATCAACCCAGAGTCTGGAGAGTGAGAGGGAAGAAAAATGGCCCCTGTCACACTGTCTGGCAGCCTGCAGCACCCTCATGATTCCTCTGGTCTGGAGCAGAGCCTTGGGACAGAGGTCAAAATCCCTCCCAAGAGGCTACAGCACTCACTTTGGCTGTGTGAGGAGCGCTTTCTCTCAGGAAACCCTCTGCCCTTTCCTAAGGAAAGGCCATAAGATACAGAATGCCCACATGCGCCAGGCCCTTGAGAAACGATCAGTTATTTAAATGGGATAATAAAACCCTATGAAGGTAAATCTTTTCCTCACCATTTTATGGATGAGGAAAGTGAGACTTGGAGAGTTAAGCAACTTGCCCAAGGTTACCGAGTAACAAGCAGAGTCATGATTTGAAACCGGGTCTGTCTGATTCCAGGGCTCTACTTTTTTCCAAAATGAACACAAATCCCACAAAGTATTTATTTGAACTCTAGAGGAAACATTGAGGCTCCTGCAATTGCTTATCAGCAGAAGTCAGATGCTACACGAGAGGACTAGGAAAGTAGGAGACCTGAAAATTGTTGCCTTGAGCAAATCACTGAACCAACTTCCTTGTTTGAAAAGTAGGACTTGCCCACAGGGCTGTGGGGATGCTGACCTGACAACTGAAGCCAATGGTGTCTGTTCTCCTAGGTCAGTTCCTTTGCCATGATAAGGCTTCCCTGGAGGCTCAGACAGTAAAGAATCTGCCTGCAGTGCAGGAGACCCAGGTTCAATCGCTGGGTCCAGAAGATCACCTGGAGGAGGAAATGGCAACCCACTTCAGGATTCTTGCCTGGAGAATTCCATGGACAGAGGAGCCTGGTGGGCTATAGGCCATGAGTACTCAACTGAACGACTAACACTCACGCACTTTGCCATGATGGTTACTAAATATTTTATATCATCTCTGGTTCCACAGATACTTCTTTCAGTTGTGGAGGTCAAGTGAGACCCCAGTAAATCCCAAGAACCTACCACACAGAGGTTAATCAGCATTCTCAGGCACTCAGAGCTGGCTGCATGGGCATGCAACATAGAGTTACACAGGACCTGCACTTAGTTTAACGCTCTGCTGGTGCCATCTTGCATTTCTCAATGACAGGAGGCCCCATGTTTCCATTTTGCACTGGGCCCCACAAATTATGTAGCTGGTTCTGCAGGCAAAAAGACAGTGGCTGATGAAACCCAGAAAAATACTCTACTGTTTCCAATCAGATTCCACTACAATGATTTTATTCTGACTGAAGTGTCTAGAGTGTTGACTCACTTGTCTCCTGGCTGTTGAGGGGAAAGAGCTGTTCTTGAGGAAGCGGCTATATCCTGTATATGTCCAGCATGCTGGTCTTTGTCTATTCTGGCTGCTATAACAATACCACAGACTAAGTGGTTTATAACCAGTAATTATTTCTCACAGTTCTGGTGGTTGGGAAGTCTAAGATCATGGCGCTAGCAGATTTGATGTCTGCTGAGAACAAGCTTCTTGGTTCACAGCCAGGACCGGATCTTCCTGCTGTGTCCCCACAAGGCAGGAGTGATGGAGCTCTCTAGGGTCTCGTTTATAAGGGCACTCACCCCATTCTTGAAGGCTCCACCCTCATGACCTATTAATAGTTAACTCCTCAAAACTCTACTCCCAAATACCATCACACTGGGAGTTAAGATCTCAACCTATGAATTTTGGAGGGGGACACAAATAATCAGTTTAGAGCACATGGTGTATGAAAAACACCAAACAAAAAGGGTTGAAAAACATAGTCATTATTCTTAGCAAGAACATTTTCTGATCACTTGTTCTGTGCCCAGCCTGGTGCTGGTTGTAACAGGGAACACAAAGAGCTCTGTGCCACTGCCACCTTCAAAGAGTGCCCAGCTGGATGGGAAGGAGAGGCATATATCTCTCTGGAATACCCTTGGGATTAGCCTCATATGGGCACAGACTTGGGGTTCAAGGGTACAGAGGAGGGATTCAGAAAGGGCTTGATGGGGACTGGGCTGCCAGGAAAAGCTTAGGGTCCAAGTAGGACTCAGGTCCAGTTAAGATGCCTGGGACTTAGTAAGTGGAGGAACAGAACGGTCCAAGTCTCAGACCTGGATATGGACACATAATAACTCCCTCCTGGTGGGTCTGGCTTTTGAATCCATCAGAATAGACTGGAGTTGGGGAGTATTGCAAGTTGGGTTCTTTGCAAGCAGACATTAAGATGAGTTCAAGATATGTGTTTGTCTCCTGTGGCTGCTATAATAGTTATTCCAAAGTGGGTGGCTTAAAACAATAGAAATGTATCCTCTGAAAGTTCTGAAAACCAGAAGTTTAAGATCAGTTGCACTGGGCTAAAAAAGCAAGGTGTTGGGAAGGGTGGTCAATCACCCTCCAGACCAAGCCAGGAAGTAACTGTGTCAAAAATTCTCAGGCAGCCCAAACCTGCCCTTCCAGAAGCTTGTCTCGGCATCCTCATTGTTATGGTTGCCCCAGAGGTAGTCAAAAGGGAGACCCCAACTGCATTGCAGTGTACCACAAAATATGACTTTCCTTGGCTCATCTTTAAATGTCAACAAAGGGACCAAAGTTGGGCAGGACAGAGGCTAAAGGGGACTTCCCAGGTGGAGCTAGTGGTAAAGGACCTGCCTGCCAATGCAGAAGACTAAGAGACTTGGGTTCGATCCCTGGGTTAGGAAGATCCCCTGGAGAAGGAAATGGTAACCCACTCCAGCATTCTTGCCTGGAGAATCCCATGGACAGAGGAGTCCGGCGGGCTACAGCCCATAGGCTTGCAAAGAGTCAGACACGACAGAAGCAACTTAGCATGCACACACAAGGCTGAAAGGGAAGGCAAGAGGAGAGCCTGGACTGGTCGCTGGAGTTCTGAAACTATCCTGGCAAGTCACTCTGCCTCCCTGGGCCTCAGTTTCCACATCTGCTGCATGAAGCCTATCACACCAGGCATTTTATCTTAAAGGTGGTGACTCAGAGGTAGGAAAGAGGAGGCCAACTTGGAGGTCTCTGAGGGTAGGGGGCAGGCAGGGAGACTGGGCAAAAATCCAAGGAACCCCCGTTAATGTTTGCGGCCTGGGCAAGAGGATAAATGGAAACCCACATACCACGTGGCTAGTCATTTGAAAGGTATAAAACAAGCAAGCTGCTGAATAAAATATATTCTGTTGGCTGACCTTGAAAAAGTATTTTTAGAATGACCCATAAGGCCAAGGTTGAATGAAAATTCTCAGACTCCTTAGAGTCCTGCCCTGGAGGCCGTTATGTAGAGAGACCTGGCCCTGGTCCCCTGCTATGGCTACGAAGAATGCTCTACTCACAGACCTCCTGCTCCAGGGAGCTCAACTGGCTAAGTGCCCTGCACTGTGCTTTGAAATCCATCTTTGTGGTTGGGCTAAGGCCACGCTTCCCATGGACTGTTCCCTGCAGCAGGAATATAAGGGCCGTCCATCCTTGGGAAGCTCCTCTGATGACTGGCTTTACCTCAAGGACACCCTGACAGCCCTGCTGAATCTTATGTTGGTTGAGCAGAGGGGAATCTGGGATGCTCTCACCTGATCTTCTTGCCTTCACTTGGGGGAGGAGGCATCAGCCTTCCAGCCTGGCCTCATGGTTCTCCCCATGGTCTTCGGCTCCCCCCTCCTTTCCTCCCACACAGCCATCTTCCTCAATACAATCCTTGCCCACTTAATCCTGTCTTGAGATCTGGTTCTCAGAGGATGTGGCCAAACATGTTGGCCCCCAGCCCAGCACTCTTCTCTTCTTATCCCTGCCTCCTTCCCACGCCATTAAGTGCCTCCTGTCCCCGTGTCCCCTTGGCCTGCTGTCTCCTCACCCCATGGCAGTATGGGGAGTGTGGCAGGAGGGCTAGCACTGGGGCCGAGTCTTTCCTCCATGTCACTCTTTTGACCTCCATGGCTCTGTCTCATTTGCCCTGCCTGTGCATGCGTGCTTCTGGAACATTCTTTGTAACCAACTGGGCTGGGAGTAGGAAGTGTGTGTCCTGGGCCTTTCACATCTCTGGCATTTTTCACTAACTCAAGAGTCTTGTGGAGAAGAGAGAAAATTGAGGCTCAGAGAGGTTGAGTGAGTGTCCACACCCGGGTCTTCCAATGCCCAACCCTGGGCTCTTCTATGATGTCCCAGCTAGGGGTGGAGGGGGCAGGTAGCAGTCACACCACCCTCTGGCCCAACTGTCCTCTGGTGGTTGGCATGTTCCTCTGTCTCTGGGACACCAAAGTGCCTTTCTCCCAATGGCTAAAAGGGAGCAGCTTCTTTCAACGATGCAGTGAGCCGAGTGGGCAGTGGAAGTTCCAAGGATGTGGGTCGGCAAGGCTCCAGCCCCTCAGAACTTATCATTATACTTGCAGTCTGGGTAGCGGTAGGCGAATCTGGGGTCACAGGTTCTCAGGGGTCTCAAGATGTCCTTCAGCCGGCTGGCAGCCCCGAGGACCTCCGGGTCTGGCCGGGTTCCGTCTGCACAGCGAGTGAGCTCAGCATCAATCTCCTCCCGCATTGGGGATGGGAACTTGGCCTGGAGAAGCAGGGGCAACACCTGGCTGCACACCAGCACCAGGTTCTGCTTCTCAGGGATGGTGTCACAGGAGGGCAGCTCGGTCTGGCAGCCAGAGACCAGGCAGCTGAAGATGTCTTTATCGTCTCCTGCCCTGGAGGCTGCTTGGCTGCCTACACAAGAGATGGAAGATGTTATACACGTGATAGCCCCTGTTCCCTAGGGAGGGGGGGGAGGTGCCCCTAATGAGAACTGCTGAGCAAAGTGGTTCAGGCTCCTAGCATCTCCAGTCCCCAGGAGGTTTAGGGTTCAGGGACACGACAGCCCCTGTTGAGAACCCTGGGGGTGGGGGAGCTCCTTCTGCTAAAATAAGATGAGCTGGCCAGGGAAATGCACTTCTCTGTACCAGAACTTGGCCTTCTAATTATAAGACTCTGGGAAGACTCTTGAGAGTTCCTCAGACTGCAAGAAAATCCAACCAGTCCATCCTAAAGGAAATCATTCCTGAATATTCATTGGAAGGACTGATGCTGAAGCTGAAACTCAAATACTTTAGCCACCTGATGCGAAGAGCTGACTCATTTGAAAAGACCCTGATGCTGGGAAAGATTGAAGACAGAAGGAGAAGGGGACGACAGAGGATGAGATGGTTGGATGGTATCATGGACTCAATGGACATGAGTTTGAGCAAGCTCTGGGAGATGGTGAAGGACAGGGAAGCCCGGTGTGCTGCAGTCCCTGGGGTTGCAAAGAGTTGGACATGACTGAATGACTGAACAACAGGTGTAAGGCAGACATACATGCTGTGATTCTCCCATGATTACTCCTGAATTAGGGAACACTGAGGAGATTCCTCAGACCGGTTCCATTTTTTCTATTTAAACACAAAGTCGGGAGAAAGAACAGGTAATTCAGAGTATGCCTTCAACTGATTAGCGTGGGACTGACATTCAGTGAGTCACATCTCTGAATATTCTGGAATCACCCTCATTTCTTCTCATTTGATTCTTCTTAATAAAGGCAAATTAGGAAAGGAGTAAGTGTGGCTTAATTGGTCTATCTTTGTAGGCCTTCTCATATGAATAAAATCAGAAATTTGAGATTAAAATCCTCTGTCCTACTACAGGGCTCAGAATATCTGGTCACCATTAAGGACTGGGGTGTTCAAAAGGTTCTAGAACCCCGGCTGAACCTGTGCACATCATGAGAAACACAGTTCACTCATACATCTCAGTTGGTGCCATGCTTTTCAACTTGAAGACTCTTTGCGACCTCATGGACTGCAGCCCACCGGGCTCCTCTGTCCATGGGATTCTCCAGGCAAGAATACTGGAGTGGGTTGCCATGCACTTCTCCAGGGGATATTTCCTACCCAGGGATCGAACCCAGGTCTCCTGCACAGCAGGCAGATTCTTTACCATCTGAGCCACCATGGAAGCCCTTACACAAAGGGACCCAAATGGATTGTGAAATGTACCAGTGAATCTGCCAGATTGTTCAGATAAAGGCTAAAAGCATTGATGGGAGAAGCTCTGAAGGGGAGCTGGATGTGGGGTGGAGGGGTTCTCTGTGTGTGAGGAGGGGCTGGGCAGGTCCCTGCACCACACAGACCATGTCGGGCAATGGCAGTGCCCACAGAGGGTGCCGCTGGGGCCATACCGCCGTGACTACCATGCAAATCTTCCTCTCCTGCATTAACAAGGTCAAGTCCAACTCTGCTTTGGCACTGGAGCAGAGACTTAAAAGGGGGAGAGGGACCCTTCCTCTTCCCAAACCTGGGCTGCTCTCAATATGATACACTGGTCAAGCCCAGTGATGTGACACCCCTCCTCCACCACCCATCACCGCCCCCCCCAACTCCTGTCATCCCGACTTCCCCTCTGACAGCTGCTCAGCCAGACCCATGCTGGGTACCTTCCTGCCTGTCGATCACGCCCAGCGCACTGGCGTCCCGGATGAACAGATGCCCGTTGTTGAAGATGCCAAACATGCCTGCATCCACGTGGGTGAAGTAGAAGAAGTAGTTCAAATCATTGCTCCTCAGAGATTCCAGGACACCCAGGAGCTGGTAGGCCAGGTCGGCTGCCTGGTCTGGGGGCGCATCATAGAATTCCTGCAGCGGACTGGTGCTGGTACTGACCAGAAATCTACCACAGGAGCCCAGGTACTTGGGAAGCGGCCAACCCTCAGCGCCCGGGAAGATCTGCCAAGCCAAGAGGAGGAAAGATGAAAGGATTAGAGAGAAAAAACTCCTGGAGGCAGCTCTCTCCCTTTCTCTATCCCTCCCCTTCTCCTCCCTCCTCTCTCTCACCAAGAGCACACAGAAAAATCAGCCTTATGTAGGTACCTACTGTCTCAAGACATCAGCAAAGCATCTCTTAACCTTGTTTATACCTCTTGGAACATGGCAATTCCTTGCTACCCCACCACCCCTTACCAGTGATTATTCTATTCTTGATGGAAGGATTCATAAAAGGAAGCTCTTCTTTCCATATGGTGGGTTATATTTCAACATAGTTGCCCCAAGTGAGGTAAGAGAGTGCCGATGCACTTGCCATGATTTTAGAGGGTATTCAGGTGTCAGGGGGGCTTCCTCAATCGCTCAGTGGTAAAGAACCCGTCTTCAATGTAGGAGACACAGGAGACGTGGGTTCGATCCCTGGGTTAGGAAGATCCCCTGGAGAAGTGCATGCCAACCCACACCAGTATTCTAGCCTGGAGAATCCCATGGATAGAGGAGCCTGGTGGGCTACAGCCCATGGGGTCACAAAAGAGCCGGATATGACTGAGTTCGCACACATGCACTCAGGCGTCAGGGGAATGTGTTTATTTTCATAGTTGTATATTTGAAAAAATATGACTAGCATTTCAGATTTCACAGATATGTCTGCTTAGGAAGAAGCTATGGAGGGGAAAAGGGTCAACTTAAGACTGATTTAAAGAAAAATATTTTAAAACATAACAGTGCAGTTAGTAAGTTCTGGGATAGGGCAAAAATTATGAAGATGACCCTTGGGTAAAAAGTTTTGTGAACCACTGCACGGGCCCTGGAAGAATCTGCCTGGCTAGGATAATTACATATTCACAGAGACTCCACAACCGACTGGAATGTTCTGACAGCCTAACACTGGTCCAGGGAAGCACAAAGCTCCAGCCAATTTCCTCTGTCTCCTTGTGAGGGCTCCAGGAGTATGAGATTAACATACACATTAGTATATATATAAAACAGATATCCAACAAGGACTTGCTGTATAGCACAGGGAACGCTACTCAATATTTTGTAACAACATATAAAGGAAAAGGATCTGAAAAAGAAACACGTGTGTGTGCATGCTCTGTCATGCATGTGCGCATGTGTGTGTACACTCAGTCGTGTCTGACTCTTTGCAACCCCATAGTACTTCAGGCGCCTCTGTCTATGGAATTCTCCAGGCAAGAATACTGGAGTGGGTTGCCATTTCCTACTCCAGGGGATCTTCCTGATCCAGGGATTGAACCTGCATGAAAGGCTGCCATCTGACAACAAGCCCACTAGGCTGGTTAAAAAATGTGTGTGTTCAGTCCTATCTGACTCTTGGCGACCCCATGGACTGTAGCCCACCAGGCTCCTCTGCCCAGGCAAAATACTAGAGTGGGTTGCCATTCCTCCTCCAGGGGATCTTCCTGACTCAGGATCAAACCCATGTCTCCTGTGTCTCCTGCATTGGCAGGTAGATTCTTTACCACTGTGCTACCTGCCTATATATATATATATATATATAACTGAATCACTTTGCCATATATTTGAAACTAACACAACATTATAAATTAACTATATCTCAATAAGGAAAAAAAAAGGAGGAGAGAATCCTGGCTTGTCTTTTTTTTCTGACTATTTATTGAGGCAGCTATATCTAGAATGGTGTTTCTTTATGGGAGAAATGACAGAAACTATAAATACTTGGCACTTTTCCTCTTATTTTCCTTCTTTAAAAAAACAAAGTCATCCCCCTTTCTGATGATGTTCTGTGGCCTCCTGCCATTTTAGCCCACTTGCCACGTTGTGAAACCTTTTCTTGTTTTCTCTGTCCATCGGGACCTCTCCCACTGTGTGCCACAGAGGAAGGTCCCCAGTCCCCTGGCAATGTCTAAATATGCAACCATGGAGTCATCTCTGTGTTTCAGGCTTGTCAGGAGCTAGGGCTGGAAGTAGTCAGATCATCTGCCTCAGCCACCAACAGTAGTACAACGAGAGAAGAAGACCTCTGAGGGTGCAGGAACCAGCAATTCCTTCTTCTCCTCTAGGATTTGAAATGCCAACATTAGTTAGTTAGTTAGTGAAGTTGCTCAGTCGTGTCTGACTCTTTGCGACCCCATGGACTGTAGCCTACCAGGCTCCTCTGTCCATGGAATTTTCCAGGCAAGAATACTGGAGTGGGTTGCCATTTCCTTCTCGAGGGGACTCCATGGACTATAGAGTCCATGGAATTCTCTAGGCCAGAATACTGGAGTGGGTAGCCTTTCCCTTCTCCAGGGGGATCTTCCCAACCCAGGGATCAAACCCAGGTCTCCCACATTGCCGACAGATTTTACCAGCTGAGCCACAAGGGAAGCCCAATGCTAACATTACCAGGTGGCTTTTAGCAGAACGGGCATGGACTCTGACATCAGACAGCTCTGGGTTTGGGTTTCATTGCTGACACTGGCTAAGGTACTGTGACCAAGTCACTTCACTGCTCTGAGCTCCACTTACCTTATGTGAAAGAGGGGACCATAGTAATATCCCTGTGGGGTTTGTCCTGAGCATTAAATGAGATCATGATGTACAACACACAATGCCAAGAAATGAGTTGTTATTATGTACTTAGGCATCATCCTTTGGCCAATAATATATAATTACTATATCATATATAATTATCTTATGTAATATCTCATAAATATATATTATATAATGGTATATATTATACTATATTAGTATAATCAGGATAAAATATATTATAAATAATTATAATACAAATCATCATAATACAAAATAATAATTAATTATAAGTATTAATATTAGCACACTATAAATAATTAAAATATAATAGTAATATATCAATCATAATATTGATATAATATACAATTATTATAATCATCAATATCACTATATTATATAATAAATAATTACAATATACTTAATAACAATACTAATCATTATTAATTGTTATGGTGCTTCTTCTTCCTCCACGTCCTCCTCCCCCTGCCCCTTCTCCCTCTCCTCTTCTTTCTCTTCTTCTCTTTCCCCTCCCTCTCTTCCTCTCCCACTGCCTCTTATTCTTCTTCCTTTTTCTTTTCCTCCTCTCCTCTCTCTTCCTCCCTCCTTAATCTGCTACTCCCTCCCATTTCCTAGTTTCCTTTGTGCCCATTAAGTAAGTGTCCTGACTCTTGGGATCGGGGAGAAATGGGTGTCCTATAGATGTTGACTTGTTAAGAACTATCTCTATCACTGGACTGAAAGCTGCATGAAGGCAGGGACCAGCACGCCTGCCTTGTTGACCAGTGTTCTAGAGCATCCTTACCTATTTGACCATTCCCTTTTTGATGGAGGTTTAGGTTACTTCCATCCTTGAATCTTTTCCAAGCACAGCTGCATAGCACACCTCTGAGTGGGTCATCCTTTGGTTTTTCCCCACTTCCTGAGCTTGCTCACACCTTTCCCAATCTTTAAGACACCTGGTCAAAATTGCCCTCCTCCACAAAGCCCTTCCAGGCTTTCTCTGGCCATGAAATGTCCACTCCTAGCTGTGCCCCTCCCCCCCCCCCCCCCCCCCCCACACTTCTTTCCTCTAAAACAACAACACATTTTTACTGAGTGCCACAGAGGTTCTGTTATAACATGGACTGGTGGCCCCAAGGTGTCCAGTGATGGGAGAGAAAGCTCAACCCAGGGCCTACCCCCTCAGAGCCAGATGTGAATCCCCTCCCTGGACGGGCTTTCCAGGGCAGGGTCACTGCATACCTGTAGAAGGACAGGATGCGTGTTGACTGCTAACGTGTAGAGGAGACGCAGCTTGTCCCGGTCCGTGAAGTGGTCCATGAAAATGCTGCCAGCGTCAGCCACCTCTGCATAGCGCCGGACCACACGATCCAGGAGTCGCTGTGATGGGCAGCGCAAGAGAGGGCTGGACAGGCCCTGCAGTGGGGCAGGAGAGATCCGGGGAGGAAGAAAAGGTGCTGAGTGCTTGTCGGGGGCTGGCAGGACCGGGTATGGGCAGGCTCTGCTCTGGGGGGGACCCCTGGGTTGCAGGGGTCAAGTGGGCCTTGGGGTGAGAAAAGACCCCTGTGGGGTATGGAGCAGAGTACCCCTAGGCAGTGGAGTGAGAGGAGCCCGAGTGGGGTACATGGGTGAGAGCTGGCATTGAGGAGAAGGGACTGAGAGATCCTGGGGTCATATAGGAGAGTGCTAGGCAGGCAGTGCATCCCTAGCAAACTCCTAGTAGGAGTTTTGGAGCCTCTGTGTCTCCACAATTTTCCAACTCAGAAATTAGAAGTTTGCAGGTTAGTGTTGGAAGGGTTGGATTCAGGATTTGAACCTGTTGTGAACTGCATGTTTGCCCCTCTCTTGCACCTCATTCATATGTGTTGAAACCCTAATCCCTAATGTGATGGTATTAGGAGGTGAGGCCTTTGAGAGGTAACCAGGTCATGAGGGTGGAGCCCTCATGAATGGGATTAGTGACCTTATAAGAAGAGGCCTGAGATAACTTGCTCCCTCTCTGTTCTCCATCACCTCAAGGAGACCATGAGGAGATGGCTGTCTGCAAACCAGGAAGAGAGACTTCACTAGGAATCAATTGGCTAGCACCTTGAGTTTGGATTTCCCAGCTTCCAGAACTGTGAGAAATACAATTTTGTTTTTAGCTCACCTAGTCTATGGTCTTCTGTTACAACACCCTAAGCTAGGACAGAACCCAATCTGATAGATGCCAACATCTAGGCCTTTTCCCCTGTGGTAGGTCTTGCCCCTCCCTCAACCTGATAAACTACCCAGGTGGAGACCATAGAAGATGATTTGAAGCTATGAGACAATCTGTTTGCTTCTGATAATCTTTTCCTACACGGCCTGAAATTCTGCCATTAAAGAAAGTCATTGTTGGGGCAGGGGTGGTGGTTAGGGTTGTGTATGTGCGTGTGTGCTAAGTCACTTTCAGTCATGTCTGACTCTGTGTGACCCTATGGACTGTAACCCGCCAGGCTCCTCTGTCCATGGGATTCTCTAGGCAAGAAATACTGGAGTGGGTTGCCATGCCTTCCTCCAGGGAATCTTTCCAACCCAGGAATCGAACCCATGTCTCTTATGTGTCCTGCATTGGCAGGCGGGTTCTTTACCACTGAGCCACCTGAGAAGCCTGGTGGTTAGGGTTAGAGGTAAGTAATTTGTTCTCTTTTCCAAGAGCTGATTCGTAAATAAAAAATAGTTCTGGGAGAGGTATTGGCCATAAAACAATGATAATAGTAGGTAATAATTATTGAGTGCTTACTATAAAACAGGAGCTGTTCTAAGATTCTCACAGGTAGTATGTTCTTTCATTTCCTTCTTCCAAGAACCTAATAAGGTAGGTACTACTATTGCTCCCAATTTGTGGATGGCAATACAGAGATTTAGAGAGATTAAGTGAGTTTCCTCAGGTCACACATACCTAGTATTTGTACTAAGACAGACAGTACACCAGGTGAGAGGTAGGTAGGTGGAGCCAGGTAGGACCTGCATCCTTATCTTTACTGGGTTTGTAACTCTATTTGAGTAAGCTCAGAACACTCATTCATTCATTCACCTACCAATGTTTGCAGAGAATCCACCAAAGACCAGGCTGTATTCTAGGCACTGCGGATGTAATGGGGACCACAGCAGACACTGCCCTTCCAGGCCTGTCAACTGGGCAGTTGACAGTTGTTAGTTTCTCAGTCGTGTCCTACTCTCTGTGACCCCCATGGACTGTAGCCCACCAAGCTCCTCTGTCCATGGAATTCTCCAGGCAACAATACTGGAGTGGGTTGCCATTTCCTTCTCCAGGACATCTTCCTGACTCAGGGATCGAACCCAGGTCTCCTGCATTGCAGGCAGATTCTTTATCATCTGAGCCACCAAGTGGACGAGACCATCAAAGGCCCAGCAGTTACTATATGGTGCAGGGAGTGCTAATGACCGGCCTGAGGTCAGGGATCTGTGGGAGCCCATGGGTGCAGGGCCACACTAAAACTTTTGGAGGTGTTGGTACAAAATCCTTTGTTTTCATGGGCCCCTTCCTCCATAAAAAATGCTTAAAATGATATTTTACAACTGCATTGGTATAAAGACAAATACATTAATATTATACATTCAAACATGTTCTTAGACCTAAAAGATTATTTTTCTTCTGATTTTGAAGGAAATCAAAACATATTTGTGGGCCCCTCAAAGGCTTCTTGGAAGACAGTGAAGTCTGAGTGGAGGCCTGAAGCAAGCATAGAGTGAGCCTGCAAAGAGGGGGGGAGGGTATCTGTGCAGAAGGAACAAGATGTGCAAAAACCTTAGTGATGCTATGACTGCATGGAATAAAGATTCCATTCTTGGAATTGCCAAGAAATTTTTTTTCACACTTTAAAAACTTTATTTAAAGAAATTCATTTTTTTTAATTTATTTTTTTTAATCGAAGGATAATTGCTTTATAATATTAGGTTGATTTCTGCCGTACAGAAACATGAATTAGCCATAGGTATATGGAGAGAATAGCATGGAAGTATATACACTGACATAAGTAAAATAGATAGCCAGTGGAAATTTGTTGTATGACTCAGGGAACTCAAACTGGGGTTCTGTAACAACCTAGAGGGGTGGGAAAGGGTGGGAAGTGGGAGGAAAGAAATTCATTAGCTTTTAAAAGCATTACCAAGAGAGAAAGAAAAAGAGAAAAGGTTTGGAGCAGAAGACAAACCCCTTAGTAGTGTTTGGTGGGAAGGTGGAATTTTTGGTTCTCTGAAATTGAATGTTTATTGTTTTTATAAATGAAAAGGAAAAAACAAAACAGTTAAAGGTCCCCAAAAGCCCACGGCTGTTCTATTACCCACACTCGAGTGACAAAAAGAGCACCAGGAAAGAGCAGAAGACAAGAGAAACCAAGAGTGGAGCTAGGTCCTGGAGGGGGGTGATTTCCCCTGTGCAGAACACTCATAGAGGAAAAGGCTCATTTTTGCCAGAAAAAGAGTAGAAAGGAATATGAGGGGGAAAGGGGATAAATGAGGAATTTTAATGCATAGGGAAAGGGGAGTGATGGATTGTACAATAAATAGAAACTTTTGAGAAAGGCCCTTAAAGGGAGTGGGCATATTTTTCCTCACCCCTTTTTCTTTTCCTGACTGTGGAAGTGATGGCTGGTGCTTGTGCAGCCATTTTGGACCAGGGCACACTAAGGGTTGTGGAGCATCAAAATGAAAGTAGGCTGAATGCCTGACAATCACAGAGCCATTATATCTGCCCTGGACAGCTATGTATCCATTTCCTTTATGTAAAAGAGATGCATATTTTGATCTTGTTTAAGCCACTGTTACTTGGATTTTTCTCACATGCAGCTGAACCTAATCCTAAATATCATCGAAGAAAAGAATGGAGGTAGCAAGGTCAGTTAAAATGTGCAGTGGTCCAGTTGTGTGATGAGAGAATGAAAAGATTTGAAGGTATTTGTAGGTAGTAGAATCTACAACTCTTGGTGATTGGCTGAGTGGGAGAGGGAGGTCAAAGAAAAGGGAGGTGTCAGAGTTAGTAGTCAACATGAGAGTGGACACTGGAGGTATTGTTTGTGGAGATGATTTTAAAACATGTTCACAAACTCTTAGACATGTCTCCCATCCAGGTGGAGTCTAGTTCTCCTCCCCTGGAGTATGGACTGGCTTTGGTGACTCACTTCCAGTGACTGGAAAGTTTATGGGAGTGATGCTATATGGTTTCTGAGCCTTGGCCATAAAAGGAGATACAACTTCCACTTGGCTCTCTCTTGTACCCAACCACCATGCTGTACAGAAACCCAGGCTACTTGGAGAAAAAGCAAGATCCTTAATCCTCGTTCAGCTGAGTAACTAGTTGACAGCCAGCTCAACTTGCCAGAGAAGTGACTGAGCCGTGTTGGGAATGGCTCCTCCAATGCTTATTAAGCATCCTAGTTGATGCTGTGTGGGGCTTCGGGAGTTTTCCTACCAAGCCCTAACCAAATTGAATATTCATGAGGAAAACTGATGATTGCTGTTGTTTTAAGCCCCTAATTTTGAAGTGGGTCATTATCCAGCAATAAATAACTGATATATTTGCTGAAAAGGTTCAGGGCCACTTCTAGAATTATCACCAAAATAGGCTCTAAAACCATCTGGTACCCCAATCTCCCTTAAAGGTGGAGGCAGCTGCTTCCCAAGGTCCCACTTACAGAGTGGGGCTCTGTAAACTTCTGTTTGTTGTGTGGTGAACAAGTGCAAGCCCACAATGATATTGGCCAATGGCAAACAGAAGTAGGACACTACACATTTCCAATAAAATAATGACTTATTATTCCAAGTCACTACTCCACACTCTATACATGGGCAACAGGGCTAACACATCACCTTCCAGTGAAAGACAAAAAGAAAACCAAACCCTGAGCTTCTGTTGCCCCTCCCTCCTTATGCTCAGTTTCCTCATCCTTGTATTTCCTGTTTGGTGCCATTGGTAGGTCAGGGTCTTCATGGTGCAGTGATACTGACCAGGCTTTTGCTCTGCTGCATTGTCACTTTACAGGGACCTTCAGTGCAAGGTGGTACTGAGTTATTGCCAAGCTTCTCTACCACAGTCCCTAACAGTCTATAAAAGAATCAATGAAATAGAAAGGGTATATCATTGTGATGGTCAGTTTTATGTGTCAACTTGGCTAGGCTGTGGTGCCCAGTTATTCAATCAAACACTAATCTAGGTGTTGCTGTGAAGAAACTTTGTACAGGAGGTTAACATCTACAGTCAGTTGACTTAAAGGAGGTGAGGTTATATTTGATAATGTGAATGGGCCTGATCCAAGAAGTTGAAAGGCCTTAAGGGCAAAACTAAGGTTTCCCTGAAAAGGAAGAAATTCCACTTGTGGACTATATCATCAGGTCCTGCACAAGGATCTCCAGTCTGCTGGCCCATCCTATGG